AACACTGCCCACAAATTGTAGCCATCTCAGCTTTATTGATTACTTTATTATAGCCACTGAAATCAGATTGATTATATTCTTTGTGGCCAAAGATGGAGAAGCTCTATACAGTCAGCAAAAACAAGACTGAAGCTGACTGTGGCTCAGATCATGAACTCCTTATTGCCATATTCAGACTTAAATTGAAGAAAGTGGAGAAAACCACTAGACCATTCAGGTATAACCTAAATCAAATCCCTTATGATTTGATTTAGGATATGATTATGATACAGCAGAACTGAGAAATCGATTTAAGGGACTAGATCTAGTAGACAGAGAGCCTGATGATCTATGGGCGAAGGTGCATGACATTGTACAGGAGACAGGGATCAAGACTATCCCCGAGAAAAAGAAATGCCAAAGAGCAAAATGGCTGTCTGAGGAGGCCTTACAAATAGCTGTGAAAAGAAAAGAAGTGGAAAGCAAAGGAGAAAAGGAAAGATATACCCATTTGAATGCAGAGTTCCAAAGAATAGCAAGGAGAGATAAGAAAGCCTTCCTTAGCGATCAATGGAAAGAAATAGAAGAAACAATAGAAGGGGAAAGACTAGAGATCTCTTCAAGAAAATTAGAGATACCAAGGGAATATTTCATGCAAAGATGAGCACGAAAAAGGATAGAAATGGTATGGACCTAACAGAAGCAGAAGATATTAAGAAGAGTTGGCAAGAATACACAGAAGAACTGTACAAAAAAGATCTTCATGACCCAGATAATCACAATCATGTGATCACTCATCTAGAGCCAGACATCCTGGAATGTGAAGTCAAGTGGGCCTTAGAAAGTATCACTACAAACAAAGCTAGTGGAGGTGATGGAATCCCAGTTGAGCTATTTCAAATCCTAAAAGATGATGCTGTTAAAGTGCTGCACTCAATATGTCAGCAAATTTGGAAAACTCAGCAGTGGCCCCAAGACTGGAAAAGGTCAGTTTTCATTCCAATCCCAAAGAAAGGTAATACCAAAAAATGCTTAAACTACTGCACAGTTGCACTCATCTCACATGCTAGTAAAGTAATGCTCCAAATTCTCTAAGCCAGGCTTCAGCAATATGTGAAAAATGAACTTCCAGATGTTCAAGTGGGATTTAGAAAAGGCAGAGGAACCAGAGATCAAATTGCTAACATCCGCTGGATCATTGAAAAAGCAAGAGAGTTTCAGAAACACATCTATTTCTGCTTTATTGACTACGCCAAAGCCTTCAATTGTGTGGATCACAATAAACTGTGGAAAATTCTGAAAGAGATGGGAATACCAGACCACCTGACCTGCCTGTTGAGAAACCTGTATGCAGGTCAGGAAGCAACAGTTAGAACTGGACATGGAACAACAGACTGGTTCCAAGTAGGAAAAGGAGTACATCAAGGCTGTATATTGTCACCCTGCTTTTTTAACTTATATGCAGAGTACATCATAAGAAATACTGGGCTGGAAGAAGCACAAGCTGGAGTCAAGATTGCTGGGAGAAATATCAACAACCTCAGATATGCAGATGACACCACTCTTATGGCAGAAAGCGAAGAACTAAAGAGCCTCTTGATCAAAGTGAAAGAGGAGTGTGAAAACGTTGGCTTAAAACTCAACATTCAGAAAACTAAGATCATGGCATCTGGTCCCATCACTTCATGGCAAATAGATGGGGAAACAATGGAAACAGTGGCTGACTTTATTTTTGGGGGCTCCAAAATCACTGCAGATGGTGATTGCAGCCATGAAATTAAAAGACGCTTACTCCTTGGAAAGAAAATTATGATCAACCTAGACGGCATATTCAAAAGCAGAGACATTACTTTGCCAACAAAGGTCCGTCTGCTCAAGGCTATGGTTTTGCCAGTTGTCATGTATGGATGTGAAAGTCGGACTGTGAAGAAAGCTGAGCGCCGAAAAATTGATGCTTTTGAACTGTGGTGTTGGAGAAGACTCTTGAGAGTCCCCTGGACTGCAAGGAGATCCAGCCAGTCCATCCTAAAGGAGATCAGTCCTGGGTGTTCGTTGGAAGGACTGATGTTGAAGCTGAAACTCCAATACTTTGGCCACCTGATGCGAAGAACTGACTCATCTGAAAAGACCCTGATGCTGGGAAAGATTGAGGGCAGGGGGAGAAGGGGACGACAGAGGATAAGATGGTTGGATGGCATCACCAACTCAATGGACGTGGGTTTGGGTGGACTCTGGGAGTTGGTGATGGACAGGGAGGCCTGGTATGCTGCAGTTCATGGGGTCGCAAAGAGTCGGACACGACTGAACAACTGAACTGAACTGAACAACTTTATTGACTTCCAATCTCTCTTTCCTCAGCTCAGCAAAATCCCTATGCTCTCTCTGGGGGTCCTTTGTCCTATACAGCAGTCTAGAAACTGCCGGAAATTGCCAGTCTGGGCAATGATAGTACTCACCTCATTTGTTTTCCTTCTCTTAGTAATTACAGTTCTGCATTTTTTCTTATCCAATGTCTAGAAACAGTTTTTTTCTCATATTTTGTCCAGTTTTCTAGTTGTTTACTGTGAGAGGATAATTTTGGACTCTGTTACTCCACCGTGACTGGAAGCAGCAATCTGTCTCTTGAAGTATTTTACCTTTAATTACCACCACCTTGTCCTCATCTAACATGTCATCCAAGAGTGTTTCTATTCAATCTCATTTTTAAAACTCCCCTATGTATTATTATATTATTGTGTGTTTAGCCTTTGTTTTTATTTGCCCACATTTTATTTATTTCTATTTTCTTTCTTTCTGTCATCTCAGATTATCTCTTGGAGATAATTTTCTTTGTTGCAATGTATGGCAAGAACCACTACAATATTGTAATTAGCCTCCAACTAATAAAAACAAATGGAAAAAAAAATAAAGAATAAAAAAAACACAAAATATATCTGTGATAAATTTATCTCATGACAGTCTGCTTGTGAAAACACTCTTCTTCTTTTGCTTGGTTTTATAACATATTCCAAAAATATGTTCATCTTTTTTCTTGAAAGATATGTTAGAGTATGTATTATTGGATTGACAATTATTTTCTTTTAGAACATGGAAAACATTATTCCACTATATTGTGGCTTCCTTCAGCTACCTCTAAGAAGTCTTCTATCAATCTAATTGCTTCCCCTTTGTATATAATTTACCTTTTCTCTCTGGTATCCAAGGCTTTCTGTGATTTTATGATCTTCTCTTCATCTCTGTTACTTTACTATTTTAATTCAGCAATCTAGGTATGACTTTTCTTCATTTTTTTATTGAAAGATAATTGCTTTACAGAATTTTGTTGTTTTCTGTCAAACCTCAATATGAATCAGCCATAGGCAGATGTGACTTTTGTTTTTATTTTCCCTTGGGGTTTGCTTCCTGAATCTTTGTATTTAATTTCTCATATCAGTTCTAGGAAATACTGAGCTATTAATTCCTTTAAAATGACAAATATGGTTGATCTTTTATTATTTATATCTTCTGTATCTCTTAACCATTCTTTTTGCTATTCTCCACTATTTTAACCTTTTTGGTATGTTTTGATTAATTCATTAAGATATATCCTTCATTTATTTTCTCTTTGACTCCACTTTACCTGACTTTTTAATTTTAATGGTTTTATTTTTTGTTACTAAAAGTTTTCTTTATCCTTTTAAAATGTATATGGCTTATGAACATTTGAAACAAATTTTATGTTCTGTGTCCAGTGACTCAATATTTGAAGTCTTTAGGATTTTCATTCTGTTGCAAGATTTTTCTGTGGCTATTGTAGCAGCATTCCTATCTTGCTTTTGACTTTAGTTAGAATGCCTCAGATGTTTCACTATTAAACTTGAAGCTCTTGGGGTTTATTATGATTTTTCTACATCAAATTAAAACATTTTGTTCCTATTTATTTCATTTTATCTGTTTTAGTACTTATTGAAGTGATCAATATATAAATTTACATCTTTATTATTTTTGTTAGATTTCCTACAAACATTGCATTCCTTTAGTCATAATATATTCTTTTATAACTCTGTTAAATTTGATAAATGTTTTATTTAGAATTGGGGATTCTGTATTTTATAGGAACTCTATATAATAGTTTCCTCCCTTCCTTCCCCTTGCTTTCTTATCCCTGTGCTTTCATGTATGGTTCTGATATGTTTGTGTCAGATTAATTCCAGAATTCTGTAAAGAATAGAGAAACATAGAATATCTTTTCATTTATTCTGCCCATTATACCGCTTTCCATTCCCATATTCTTTTCCTCCTGACTCTGTATTTGAAGATTTTGGGGGCAAGGAGAGGGGGATGTTCAGGAAATAAAGACATCAGTATCTTGAGCAGATTATTACTATTACTATGTGGATTGTGAAGTTTTTAGCTGAGGTTCTTTCATCAAAAGAATTCTATGTATTTTAGACTTTCCAGAAATTGAAGGCCCTCTCATTAACTTCTTTCTTATTTTCTCATGATATGATACAATTACTGTATTCTTACACCTTTTTCCTCATATATCTCATGATTTCCGTTTGCCTAAATGAGAATCCTCCTTGCAACTGTCTTCAACTCATATTTGTTAATTGTTTGAAAATAATTGAAAATAATTAGTCACTATGCTAAATCTATACACAACAATGTCACAGATTTCCTTAAAAAAATTGTTAAAGTCATATATCTACCCCATATACAACTTCCAAAGGGGTCGATACCACTAAAACAAGTAAGGTTCTCACTTGTAAGTTATTATCATAAGCGTTTCTATTTCACTCGATCTTAAGAAAGAATTTCAATTTGATCCAATTAGATGGGTTTGGGTTTTTTTTTTCCATTTATTTTTATTAGTTGGAGGCTAATTACTTTACAGTATTGTAGTGGTTTTTGCCATACATTGACATGAATGGTTTTAACCCAACTAAATGGAACTAATTTTATTTAGTGTTCTACTTGAAGAAATACAATTTACATAACCCGAACTTTGACTTTGTTTTATCTCTTGTTTTAACTTGTAGATGATGACGTCTTTAATATTGTCAGGAATACCTCCCACAGGAAATAAGACTACTGTTGTCTTTTGGACTTTTACAAACTCTTTTATAACTTGTATAATCACCCTATCCACAATAGGTAGGTTTGTGGGGTTTTTTTTCCCAGTTAGAATGCTGAATATTTTATAAATGTTTTACATGAGGTACTGTCTACACATTTATATGATGTCTTAAATTTAGTGAAATAAAGTGATTTGTTTAAGGGGTATTAACCCATTCAGAACAAGATCTGCTAAGGCAAAAGAAGCTGGCAATATTCTTGGCTCTCTGTGAAAAGGACAATTTTTCTTCTCTATACTTTGGATCCATTAAAATCTTGGCTTTAGACTATTTTCTTTAAACAGGATGTATGGAGCATAAGAAAAGCTGTCCCCTTACTCCATTTCATTTCCCTTTCATTTCATTTCATTTCCCCTTATGAAAAGTATTTCAAATATAGAAAATTGTTCCCAAATAAGTCAAAAGAGACTTATTCTCTTCTGCTATTTCCCAAAAAGTTGCATTACCAACTCTTGGGAAAAGGAGGAATGAGTGAAGAAAAAAATTTCTTAGAATAAGAAGTCTTATAGTTGCAGAGCATAGTATAAATGTATTCATATAAATGATATAAAAAGGAAACAAAAATATAGAATGATGAAGAGGAAAGAGGAAGAAAATAATAAAGGATATAATACTCATCATATAGTATCAGGAATTAAGAATTTATAAACATTTAAACACAGGTTTAAGAATATTGTTAAAATACAAAGGCAAATATAGGAGAACAGTTCAGTTCAGTTCGGTCACTCAGTCCTGTCCAACTCTGCAACCCCATGAATTGCAGCACGCCAGGCCTCCCTGTCCATCACCAACTCCCAGAATTTACTCAAACTCATGCCCATTGAGTCGGTGATGCCATCCAGCCATCTCATCCTCTGGCGTCCCCTTCTCCTCCTACCCCCAATCCCTCCCAGCATCAGGGTCTTTTCCAATGAGTCAACTCTTTGCATGAAGTGGCCAAAGTACTGGAGTTTCAGCTTTAGCATCAATCCTAGTGGGGCAATATAAATGTCAGACATGGAAAAGATGAATAAGAAAGTGGTTATAGGAGCTGAATTCCTCTCTCTCATATAAAAAATATAAAATTGATGCATCAACACATGGTTATATAACCACATGTGCTATGTGTGCTAAGTTTCTTCAGTTGTGTCCAACTCTTTGCGACCCAATGGATTGCAGCATGCCAGGCTTCCCTGAGCTTCACTGTCTCCCTGAGTTTGCTCAAACTCATGTCTATCAAGTCAGTGATGCCATCCAATCATCTTATCCTCTGTCGTCCCCTTCTCCTCCTGCCCTCAGTCTTTCCCAGCATCAGAGACTTTTCCAATGAGTCATCTCTTCACATCAGGTGGCCAAAGTGTTGGAGCTTCAGCTTCAGCATCAGTCCTTCCATTGAATATTTAGGGTTGATTTCCTCTAGGAACTATAGCATGCATTCTTAAAATTAGTCAGTTCAAAGTACATGCTCTTAACTTGTGTAATTGTAGGAGTAGAATGTAGAAAATCTGAAAAATTTGATTTTTAAACAATTAACATCTCACTGCTCCGCACACAATAATTGTTTAAGTTTTAATCATAGAAAGTTCTTGATATATATGTCAGTATATAGTTTTAGACTGCTTTGTCAGACCAATATGTCATTAGCATTTTCTATGTCATATGTATTTCAATGTAATTCTTAATGATATTGCAGTATTTTGTTATATACCATATCATGCGTGACCAGTCTCTTTGATTGTTCATTTATGCTGTTTACAAGTTTTCAAAATTTTAAATAGTGATTCTGTAAAAGAACTTTTAAACTCACATTTTTAAATCATTTTCTTAAGATAAGATCAGCTGACTCATCGTATTTTCATTTTTTATTTTTGGTAAGAACTGTATGCACTAGGGCTCTTAGAATACCAATGACTGAAAATTTGCTCTCAAAGACCAATGTCAAATGTCAAATTGTACCAAGTTGCTGTATTGAGGAGTGTTGCATTTATTTTTCCCCCCTCTTAACAGGTTATGGAACAATTTTTCCTAAAACTTCTGGTGGACAGATGTTCTGTGTTGTCTTTGCTACAATTGGAATCCCTCTAACTATCATGTTATTTAAATATATTTTTATATTAGTTTATCTGCCATCTGAAAAATTTGGAATATACCTTCAACAGAAGGGATTAAATGAGGTAAATTTTCTTTCTCCTTCCACACAATCACACACACACATTTGGTAGAAAAGTTCTGTTTTTTTTTTTTAATTATGTGGATTCACAACTTTATGCTAACTAGACATGTAACACTTTATACTTACTGAATTCACATGGAATTATATGAGCAGAAAAAGCAAGTCATCTGTGTTCTAAAACAGACGTGAGAAAAGCCATTGTTCAAGGGACCATCTATTTCCTTTTAGATATTTTGCTTCTAATCATTTCATTTAGAAGTTGAGCAGTGGTGAATTGTGTATAAACAATTCTCATAGGTATTTGTTCTCCTAAGTCAGTTGGCCAACTCTTTTATTTTGTAGAACAGGAGAACATTTCTTAAAGGCTGTGTGACTTGCCCAAGATTACCCAGAGAATTAGTAGCAGTGCTGACACTAGCCCCTAGAGATGTTTGGAACAAGGTTTTGTCCACATATCATGTTAAGTCATGGGTAGTGACCCAATTGAGTAATTAGCACAGGTTTTACCCTTCTTTAAAAATTAGAAATGTATTTTTTTATTAAAATTATTGAGAATTTATTACAAAAGTGAGTTGTAGACATTCTTCAAGAATCTATTTTTCTTTTCTTTTCTGTGAGGGAACATAAAAGGGGTCTCCTTCAGGGAGCCCATGGGAGAAAGTGGGCCATGTGAGAGAGAATCCCACTAGTGGTTGATGTGATCAACTGGTCCTTACTCTGGGGCAGAGCCTTTCACAGTAGGGTGCCACATTCTTGTTATTTCTTTGTATTCTTTTTGGAGGTCTCTGGTTACAGTAGGATCTGTTCTTCTGTTCTAATGAGAGTTCAGTCCTGTGGTTCTCAACCTCAGTTGCACATTAGAATCACTTGGATCCTGGTGCCCAGACCCCACTCCAGACCACTTTGATCTGAATCTTTGAGGATGGGGCCTTCAATGGTTTTTAAAACTCCCTAAGTGATTTCAATGTGCAACTAGGTTGAGAACAATGGATTTAGACCAATGTTTCTCAACTGGAGTGATTTTGCCTTCAAAAAGGACATTTGGCAATGTCTAGGCTCATATTGGGTTGTACAAACCTCAGGAAGAAAGTGCTACTGGCATCCAGTGTGTAGAGGCCAGTAATGCTCCTAAACATCCTACAATGCATAAGACAGGCATTTACAACAAAGAATTATTGGGTCCAAAATGTCAGTTTCAAAGTTAAGAAATTGATCTAGACCATCAGTTCTCAAAGTATGGTTCAAGGAATAGCAGCATCAGTGTTACCTGGGAATCATTAAGAATACAAATTCTCAGCCCCCATCCCTGAGTTCCCAATCAGGAACTCTGCGGATGGGGGCCCATCAGTCTATTTTAACAAGCGCTGCAAGAGATTAAGATGAATGCTAAAGTTGGAGAAACACTGACCTAAAGCCTAACTAATACTTCACCAAGATTTAAATATTTAAAAATTCTACTCTTGAAAAGAATCAGTTAAAAGGGTATAAAGATGAGCTACAGACTGGGAGAAAATATGTGCTAATTATATATCCTATAGAAAGACTTGCATCCAGAATACTTACAACTCTTAAAACTCAAAAGTAAGATAACTCAATATTTTTAATGGGCAAAAGGTTTAAGCACACCCTTTACCAGTAATGAGATATCCAGAAGATTAAAGTATACTAAGTATTACTTATTAGGAGATTGCAAGGTAATACCACAATGAGAAACCAATATATGTCTAATATAATGGTTCAAAATAAAAAGAACGATCACACCAAGTGTTGGTAAGAGTATGGAGGAGCTGTAACTCTCATACACTGTCAGTAGGACTCTTAAATTGTACAGTCATCTTGAAAAACAATTTTCAACAATTTCCTAAAAAACTAAACATATATCAAATTTATGATTGTTATTTCACTATTAGTGAAATAGTAAATAGTTTGGTATTTACTCAAACAAAAGCATATGTCTACAAAGACTTGTACATGGGGGACTTTCCTGATGGTCAGGTGGTTAAGAATCTGCCTTCCAATGTAGAGGCTGTGGGTTTGATCCCTGGTGGGGGAACTAGGATCCAACATGCTGTGGGCCACAACAATCTCATTTACTTTATTTTGCAAGCATGCATGTCAGAAGGCTTGGAGCTGTGTCCAGATGGGGAATCTGAGCTAAACTGGGGCTACGGGGTCAGAGCCCAGAGCAAGAAGGAACTGTAGCCTGGTATCTAGGCAAGAGTAATCTTAGAAGGCTTTGGAGGGTAAAGTGTCACAGGGAAATTAATCTTAAATCAAGGTCTAGATGTAGATAATAGGAAAGTGAGAAAACAAGATGGCAGGACAATTGATGACAGGAGGTAGAGCAGTAGAGCCTGGACATACTCCTAGGGACAGGATTATTCAAAAGAATGATCTTTTTATTGGGTTCCAAATCTTTGAGAAATGAAGAAATAGATAAAAACAACTACTGGAGCACACAATAGTTTTTTTAATGTTGTTTGTTTATGATATAACTGCTAACATTGTATCTTTTTTTCTAATATATTTTAGAAAAATGTTTATCTCTGGAAGAGCTTATTTTTTGCTGCAACTGGATCACTTTTTTTTCTTGTATTACCACCATTTCTTTTCATGTCATTAGAGAATTGGAGTTATGTTGAAGGAATTTATTATTCATTCAACACCATAAGTACTATTGGTTTTGGAGACTATACAGTAGGTGAGTCTTAATAATCCTGAAATAAGATTTGCTATCAGAGCAACAGATTGAAGCAGGATGTAAAATAAAGAATCAAATGGAAGTATTAGAAGATTTCTTTGAGAGATAAGATAAAGGTCAAGCCCTTTTAAATGAAAACTATTCCCTTCACTTCCCTGTCTCCTTACCCCACAGTTATCACTGACTATAGGAAGAAGATATAGAGCAATTCCTCTTAAACTAAATATCTCTGCTTGATCACATGTGGAAAACAAAAGGCATATGCTTTCTGTGTTTCTAAACAAAACTTAAATGATAAAATATCCTCTACTTTGTAGGTAACTTTTCCAAATTTTAAATTTCTCCCTAAAATAAAGATGAAAAAATGAAGAGGGATAGAATCATATAGACACTAGGTATTTTTCAATACCTGTGAATCAAGAATAGAATAACCCCTATGTTATTGAGGGTACAGAATTCTAAATTGGTAGTTGTTTTCTTACAGTACTTTAAAGATGCTATTCCATTGTCTCTGGCTGCCATCATTTCTAATGATAAGTCAGCTGTAAGTTTTATTGTTGGTCTTTTGAGGTAAGGAACCGTCCCCCTGCACTCCACCCAAACCCTGCCCCACTTGTTTTTAAACTTTTTCAGCAATTTAACTATTATCTACTTCAGTGTGGTTTGCTTTGTATTGATTTTGCTTGGGGATCACAGAAATTATTGAAGTGAGTTGAAATCCTTCAAGTATCTTGAAAAAAAAATCTCAGCTACTATCTGTTCAAATATGAATTATTCCTTATTTTCTCTTCTACTTCTGTGACTCCAATTACATGGATGTAAGACCTCTTTCAGTCAGTTCAGTTCAGTTCAGTCACTCAGTTGTGTCCAACTCTTTGCGACCCCATGAATCGCAGCATGCCAGGCCTCCCTGTCCATCACCAACTCCCAGAGTTTACTCTTTACTTGGTTTCAAATGTTCTAATGACTTTCGGTATTTTCTTTTTTTTTTTTTAACTTCACTGAGCATATTTCTTAGGAACCCATCTTCTAGTTTACTAATTCTAATTTCTGCTGTATGTAATGTGTTTTCAAATCCATTTAATGAGTTTTTAACTTTAATATTCTTTACCAGCTGAGCCACAAGGGAAGCCCAAGAATCATAGAGTGGGTAGCCTTTCCCTTATCCAGTGGATCTTCCCGACCCAGGAATCAAACTGGGGTCTCCTGCATTGCAGATGGATTCTTTACCAACTGGCTATCATAGAATCCCCTATCAGGGAATTGCCTGCAATGTGGGAAACCTGGGTTCGATTTTTAGGTTGGGAAGATCTCCTGGAGAAGGGAAAGGCTACCCACTCCAGTATTCTGGCCTGGAGAATTCCATAGACTGTATAGTCCATAGAGTCAGAGAGTCAGATATGACTGACTGACTTTCACTTTCATTAACTTTAATATTATATTTTAAGCTCTAAAATGTCCATTTAATCACCCCTTTTTGGTAGATTCCAATTGTCTGCTGAAATCCTTTATATTTTCACTTATTTTTCCATATCATATTTTGAAAAGCATAATATTCTTAGTTATTTTAAAGTTCTTATTCACTTATTTCCATATTGGGAACATCTGTGGGTCTCTTTTATAGTTCTTCCCTTTGATTTTTAGTCATATGCTTCTGTCTCTTGGCATGCCTCGTAATTTGGGGTTGCATGCTGGATGTTGTGTGTTTTAAAAGTTACAGATACTCCAGGAAATGTCATCTTCCTCCAGAGATGTTTTACTCTTTCCTCTGCTAGGCTTATAGAGATATAGGCGTGTGGAGAGGGTAACTGGATATGTAATCTGGTGAGGGAATGATACGATTTGAGACTAGACTAAAGATTTGGTAAAGCCTTAATTTCCCTTTGGTTTCTTCCTGTTCCTCAATTATAGTTCTTTACAAACTTCAAATGATGAAAGCCTGATATATTCACAAGACCACACTCTTAGTTTGCTCTTGAAGTCATTTCTTTGTTTCCTTGCACTTGAATCTGTTGGGAACTCTCCTTTTTAAAAACTTTTCAGCTTTCCTTTTTTAGCCTTCAACTTCATGTGCCTTCAGAATTTGGCAATTTATTGAAGTGGGGAACAAGCTATAGGTTTTAAATCCTTCAGATCTCTAATTGTGTCAGTCAAACCCAGAAGGACCACCAGAAGCTCTGCCATTTTCTCTACTCCTCAGAGTGCCCTTCTGTTTAGCCCAGATGCACAGCCTTTTGTCTATGCCCAGACTCTGTGAAAAGAACCACAACAAACTCAAGGGAGAAAACAGTTAAAGACTTTATGTCTGACTCTCCCACCTGGAATCTTAGTCCTTCTACTCTTGATTGCTTTAGCAGCTCTCTCGTACCTTTAAACATGATTTTGCTCTGTTTTGCTTTCTGTTTATCTGATTTTTCTGGTTGTTCTTGGCTGGAAGATTCTTCAATCACAAGCCACTCCATCCTACCCAGAAATAACAGTGTCCTTATTACATTTATTTTTAATCAAAGTAGGACTAAAATTAAATAATTAATATTCAATATTTAGATGGATAATTTCATATTAATAAATACATTTTGAAAATACATACCCAGAAGTCTAAGAACCACATTTAAATATCACTCCAAAGAGTCTCTGTTACATTTTTCTGGATTCCCAAAGTAGAGATACTACTTCCTTGGCATTCTCATAGAAATTTGCTTCCGCTTTTACAGTAGAAAATTTCATCTTTTGTTATGAAACTTACTACTCATCTTTTTAAAAATCACATTCTTTTATTAGTAAAAGGAATGATAATTAAAATTGAAAATATTTTTAAGAAAGAAGTTTCCATTGCTCATTGAAGACATTTTCAAAAGCATGACATTTCAAGTTACGAAGACTTGCACAAGACATCTCATGACTTAGGGAAAGCTTGATAATATTAAACCACATAAAATGATACAAAATTATGTATCCTAATGATGTCAAGTAAGCAAAAAAGAAAAATTTTTTTTTGGCTGCACCAAGTGGCATGCAGGATCTTAGTTCCCTGACCAGGGATCGAACTCGTGCCCCCTGCATTGGTAGTGTAATCTTAATCACTGGACTACCAGGGAAGTCCCTGAAATATTTTAAAAAGCATAGAATTCAGATAACATGATATCAGAAACTGCTAAGATTATAGTATAATTTTTTCCTGTTTATTTACACCTAGCCATGCTTTCTAAAAATTTTTTGCATGTCTGGTGAGACTATTTCTGAGTTAAATATTCTCCAAAGTTATAGCCTATTGCAATCCCAGCTTAACATGAGAAGTGTTTCATACTGGAGATTGTTTTATGTTACTTTCACCACACCACAGAAGGGTGCCAAAACCAATGTCATAGTGTTTTAGAATAGGAAAATACCTTTAAGGAAAAAAGTGGCTTAGATACTCTTGGTCTAGTAGTTTCCCAAACGTTTATGTTTTCTGATGACTTTAACATAATTTTAAAGCAGTTAATCAAATGTGTTTATTTGTTTTCTGTGAGGAAAGTTTGTCCAAATATCCTTGACTGTCAGTACCATAAATGGGATTTTATAAATAAGCGCTCTTTTGAAACCGACATTTACTTTATTCATAGTGTAATACATGGATCATAAGTATTCACTCTGATGAGATTTGATTAATATTTGTCTCAGTGCAAGCACTCAAAAGCAGAATATGTCCATGTTGTGACCAACCTACAGAGGCAGGATAGACTGCAACCAAAATTGGCTTGGATGTTGAGATGGTCTCTCTCTCTCTCTTACTCACTCACACATAGACATACACACACACACCAAGAGTGCATGTGTGTAGTAGTGGTATGGTATGATATGTAGAGCAGGGTGGCATTCAAGCAGGCCTGAAAATTTCTCAATAGAGCCAGAGGAGTGACTGGCTTTGACTTTTATTGTGATTAGGCTATGGGAAAGGTATGAGAGCTCCCATTATTGAACCAGAACTTGTATGGTTGCATTTCTCACAGTCACCGAGGGAGGGAGTGTGTGAGCGTCTTTGTAGGTTTTCCGGAATGAGAGACAAGAGGGAAAGGAGGGATGAGGTTTGGTTGGAAAATGTCAGCAGTCAAATACCAAAAATAAAGTTAGACTTGATTACATGCCACCACTCCAAAAGTACGCTTATGATACCTTACAATCAATTTCCTGTAGTGCGTTCAGGAGATCTCAGAGCTGATAAATGGAAAAGGATATGACCATAAGTTTGCAGAAGAATGAATGAGTTTTATTTGAGTCACACTTTGACATGTTTGCATGTGGAATAATTACCTCACAACATGAGACCATACAGAGGTTACAACATGGGGGATACTCCCCAGAAGGAGAGGAGAGTTAGAGAACTTTTGGAGGCAGGGGAGAATCATGGGGGCTTTGGGGTCTCGGGGGTATCTCTCAGCAACCTGATAGGGAGTCTCTGGGTCAGAGAGCTCTGAAGAGTAGCAATGGCTTGGAGTCCTTAACAGCTCTAGGGTTTATCTTATCCATGGCTCCAAGATGTTAGGCACAATTTCATAGGATGTGCAAAGCAGGCAGGCTCTAAATGGTTAAAAATCTGCTCATTTGAGCTATTTTTGAAACAACTGGATATAAAATAATTTGAGTTTTCCAAGTTACTAGTATAGGCTGGCAGTGTGGGCATGGGACGAAGCTATTGACTCTTTTGATGATCTGGGTCTGGGCTTTGTTGCTGCTTTAGTTAGATTGAATCCATCACTGACTTGGACTATTTTGAGGACTAAGTGAAGTTATTCCCTTCAGCAAGGCTTAGGAGCTGAGTACCACCAGTGAGACTGTAGATAATCATGGGAGATCTCCCTCTAGTCTACAGCCTGGTTACGGCTACTTGGGTTCCTGGGTGTTCTGTCAGTCCCTAGCTTCTCCGCTTTGCCAGTTGCTGCCTTCACGCAGTGAAGGCCCAGTGTGCTGTAGGCAGGGTCACTCAATTCCGCTGCCCACTTCAGTGGACAACCTATCTTACACTTGGGACACCCATGGTGATCATCACTCTACAGGTAGTAAGCCATAAACATGGCTTCCTCTCTCCTAGGAAGAACTTGTCACTTTGAAAAATTTAGTTTGTTAGGAGTCTTTTTCATGTCCTCAGCTCTCTCTCTCTTTTTTTTTGTAATAAAACTATGATTTTGTAGTGCATCTAGTTTTTTTTCCTGTGTTAGTATGGATATGAGCATCTCTCGTGTTTTTCTACATGCTAATACAAAAGTTCTATACACACTTTGATTTTTAGTTAGTAAAATACACACTCAGTTTATGTCAGTAGGCTAGAATCTCACCTTAGATACTTTCCTTTTTTGGGGGGGGGTGCGTGTGTGTGCATGTACTCATGTATTTTGGGAGGCAGTTTTGGAAGAAGCTGCATCAGAGACAGTTAACCAAATGTCATCTTAAACCCAAAGTGAGTGTAGCCCTCCAATTACACTTATTCAGTTTATTCTCTGATTGCTATGCTTCAAAAATGTTTGCTGGTTAATTTATATTAGATAAATATCAAATCATTTAATGTCTGATAATGTTAAATATTTTTTGTTATTTCATGCTCTGATAAGCACAGTTAAATTGCATTCTTGTGATAAATCACAATATGTTTATTGTGTTATTTGTTTCTGTTTACTTCTTTTTGATTGCAATGTTTATGCTCTTTCAGCTGTACCTCTTCACACAAGTAGATTGCAATCATGAAAAACAAATAGCAAGACCTGAAGGGAGTGTAAAAGTTATAGTATTACAATATTAGGATGATTTTAATTATTAGTGATTTTCTTTTCCTTCTTAAAAGAGTTCTCTCAAGATTTCTAATGACAAAGGCAATTAATTCATATAATTTTAAACTCAGAAATATAGATACCTGATACAAGGAAACACACTGTATCTTTGTTAACAAAATCTGAATCCCATTTAAAATTATTTTGTGTAATATATTTATCTTTTCCTTCTCTCATTTTAAAAGTGTCCTACCTGTAGCAATGATAAATTACTTCACTGTAAAATATTACACTTACTATGGTATTTAAAAAGAATAATGTTCAAAGGGAAAGAGAATTTTTCAGCCTCCAGCTGTGTTCTAGAAATGAATAGAATCTCAATATTTGTAATTTAAATTATACTCTTTCCTTGAAAGAAGTGGTAATTTTAGATATGCTTTATTTTAATTTCTAATTTGTTCTCAGGATCAGATTCTAAAAGAAGGCATTTTCCTAGGTATTAATGAATGAAAGGAAATGTTATGGGGGAAAAATCATCATCTGATTATTTGCATGTCATTTGCTTCCTGTCTTTAGTTTCAAATCCTACAAAAGACAATCAGGACATCACTTACTCAATCTTGTTGTTAATCTGGAATCTTTATGGTCTTGCCTGGATTGCTCTTCTATTTAATTTGATAGCCAGCTCTTTTAAAGAAATGGGATCAAGGTTAAATAAAGACACATCTGAAACAGAAGCTCAAGAGCAAAAGGAGTCCTCAAGCTCTGGATAGCAGTTCTCTTGGTGTGCTGCTTGCCTCCAACTGAGCTGCAGAGGATTCCCACAGAGCCCTTTCAAAAGTATCAGAGTAGGAAGGAGGGAGAGAAAACAGCCAGGCGTTTCTGCTCGAATTTCTTGTGTGAGTTCCATTTCTACACTGAAATTTATTGATTTTAATTTTGTATTGTCATTAAAAAATGATTTTAAAATATAATGCACATCTCGACTTTATTTATCCTTCCCTATACCAGTCTCATCCCATGTTTGGACTCAAGCTGGCATTTGTATACAGGAGAGGCTTATTCTGAAAGTTGTGTTTCCTATCTTTTCCTACCATGTATTTTAATCTAAAAAGTGGGCATGTACAAAATATGCATGTATATAGAGCTGTTTTCATTGGGTTTTGATTCTTGTATACATTATTTCTAACTATCAATCCAGAGTTTCTTAATATTTTATGCATCTTTTAGCCCCATCAAACAAAAAGTACATTAACCCAAAAGAATGACTTGAGAGATTTATTTTGTTCAAAGGTAAGATCTGTATACTATAGCGATATCTTTTTATGGAAAACAAAAGAAATTTAGACTGACATCATAAAATATTGCTTATTATGACCTTTTATTAAAAACAAAGTATGAATTATCTCTATATAGATATGAATATAGATAGATATCAGTGTAGACATAGATGGTAGTTATTGAGTGAAAAGGGGAAAATGCGTGACTTGGCTGAGAATAAGCCATGCTAAGTCACCTTAGCCATGCATGCTAAAGTCACCTCCATCATGTCCAACTCTTTGTGACCCCCATGTACTGTAAACCTCTGTCCTTGGGATTCTCCAGGCAAGAATACTGGAGTAGGTTGCCATTCCCTTCTTCAAGGATCTTCCTGAACCAGGGATCGAACTCACATCTCCTGTGTTTACTGCATTGCAAGCAGATTCTCTACTGCTGAGCCAATGGGAACGCCCAAGTTTTAGGTGTACAATTTAGTAATTCACAATTTTAAAGGTTGTATTCCATTTATAGCTATTATAAAATATTGGCCATATTCCTTGTGTTATACAATATATCCTTGTAGCGTACTTATTTTATAAATAATAGTTTGTACTTCCTAATCTTTTAGCCATATCTGGCCCCTTCCACCTTCCCTCTCCCCATTAATAACCACTAGTTTGTTCCCTGTACTGGTAACCACTAGTCACCATTAGTTTATTCTCTATATCTGTGAATTCCTTTTTTGTTATTAATACATTCACTAGTTTGTTGTCATTTTTAGATTCCATTATATGTGTCTGTCTGACTTACCTCACTTAGCATAATACCCTCCAAGTCCATACATATTGCAAATGGAAATTTTTCATTCATTTTTATGACTGGGTAGTAAAAAATATATAAACTATAATATATATATATACATATATATATATATGTATATATATATATATAAAGAGAGAGAGAGCACATCTTCTTTACCCATTAGTCTTGTTATGGACACTTAGGTTCTTCCATAGTTGGCAACTGTAAACAATGCTGCTGGGGTGCCTGTATCTTTTTGAATCAGTGTTTTTGGCTTTTGGGGGATAGATGCTCAGGAGTGGAATTGCTGGGTCAAAGGATAATTCTATTTTCAGTTTTCTGAGAAGCCTTCATACTGTTTTCAATAGTGGCTGCTCCAATTTACATTCTCACTGTCATTTTACGAGGGTTTCCTCTTCAACATTTGTTATTTGTGGGTTGTTTTTTTATGATAGCCATTCTGACAGGTGTGAGGTGATACCTTGTGGTTTTAGTTTGCATTTCTCTGATGCTTAATGACATTGAGCATCTTTTATGTGCCTATTATTCTTCCTTGGAAAAATGTCTAAGTCTTATGCTCATTTTTAATTTGGATTGTTTTTTAATGAGCATTAGGTTTTGAGTTCAGAACACACATTGCATTGACAGTACAACTTTGGAAAATACTTGTTTCCAGCTAGAATCTTCAAATCCATGCGCGGTCACACATTCAACGGATCACCTGCTCTGGACAAGGATATGTGAGATACAAGCTCATCCCATAGAAGTGAGTCCATTGATTTATTTCTTTAACTGGGAAGTTGGTTCCTTTGGCAGAGGTGGTGATGTGTGACACTTTTATGGAGTATAAAGTACTATGTGTTGACAGTGGCATAACAGAGAAAGGACAGCAAATCAAGTCAAAATTCAGGGTGTTTATGTCTGTGCAAATAAGTTGCTGCTTACTCTCTAATGGAATGTATTAACCTACCACGAGGTAGCTGACATGGTCCCTCCAGGTAAGGTATAAATTATTTAAAACCACTACCCTACCAGCTGACACCTCAGGAGAGGAGTTGGCCTTACACAGATTTCCATGGAATGCTCTACTTGCTCAGACACCCCCTGAGAATTTGGAGAGGGAGGAATCTCATACAGATAACAAAAGTGGTCTTTTAGGGAAAGGGAATTTTGCTCCCTTAGAGTTGATCGTGACACTGCTACAAAATAACCAGATTCTCTATTTACATAATGAAGGGTGACATCCATGAAGCTGAATGGAAGGCAGTGATTGGGGTGATGCAGTTAATATTAGGTTCCTCATTGTAGGGTACATTGTTATAGAGGCTAATCAAAAAGATGCAGACCTGCCTGACGCATGATTGAATTTGATGCATGGGAGCAAAGATGACTTCTTTAAGACTCTGAATCAAAAGTAAAATAAAATAAGCATAGTGAGAGTGTAGCTGTTCACAGACAGCTTGCTCTGCAGGAAACACAGAAGCTCTTGGGAAATGAGTTTCTGGCTATGGACCCTATTTTCCAGGGCATCCATCCCTGACTTTGTGGGTCAAAGACATAAAAAATCTAATGTAACGATGAGTGTTGGACCTATAATAATTCTTAAAAGATAGAAGAGCCAGAGTAAGTTTAAGGATAGAAGACATTTGGAAAGCATCTGAAGAAGAGAAAGCCACCCAAAAGACATTGGATAGAGGTCCTGGGAAGAAGGAAATTCAATCATATTTAGAGATTAGAGCTATTCATCTTAGTCCTATGGTCCAGAGCCTACAAGTCCTCTGAGTCAAAAACAGAATGACTGAAAAGTGCATTTCAGAATTGCTTGAAGAAACTCCTCAAGGCCTCCTGTGCTTCCTGCAAAGCTGGTTCTCATACAGGTCTCAGAAGCCCCTCTACTGGGATCTGGGCTCCTTTTGCTCAGAAGAGAACTTAGACTAGAGTCAGTCCACCTCTGCCACCCCAAAGGAATGACTGATGATGAAAGAGGCAGTGTTGTGCTTAGTCGCTCAGTCTTGTCCAACTCTTTGTGACCCCATGGACTGCAGCCCACCAGGCTCCTCTGTCCATGGGATTCTCCAGGCAAGAACACTGGAGTGGGTTGCCATGCCCTCTTCCAGCAGATCTTCCCAACCCAGGGATCAAACCCAGGTCTCCCACATTGCAGGCAGAGTCTTTACCATCTGAGCCACCAGGGAAGCCCAAGAATACTGGAGTGGGTAGCCTATCCCTTCTCCAGGGGATCTTCCCAACCCAGGAATTGAACCAGGGTCTCCTATTGCAGGCAGATTCTTTACCAGCTGAGCTACCATTGGGTATCCCAAACACTCCAGAGTCCAGTAGAATTTTATTTGGGTTTCTTGGCCCACATTGTGCCTAATGTACTATTTAGGGCTTGGTGCAGAATCACAACCATGGTCATTGGCCTTGCTTAAAAACCATGACCTTTGTAATCATGATACTGTGATATTTGTGCCCTCCCCCAAATTCATGTGTTGAAGTTCCTAACCTCCAAAGGTGAGGGTGTTAGTAAGGGAGGCCTTGAGGAGGTGATTACTTTGGGATAGTGCTCTTATAAAGGAGAACCCCAGCCCCTTCTGGGATTCTGGGAATCCACTGGGAACCCTGGGGAAAATAAAATGGAATGTAGGGGACAAGCTCTAACCTCTTCTTTTGTGCTTAGTCTAGTTTCATGTCCCTACAGGGTGCTGTGTGCAGACGCCTTGCACCTAGCACTTCAGACCAGAGTTCCTAGTGCAAAATGGCTGCACCAACACCTTAGCTCCACGGACTGTGTGCAGAGATGTACTGCTCTGGGCACTTCAGGCTGGAGCTTGAGCAGCACAGCTTTGCAGACCCCAAGAGAGCTCCACCCCCTCCCCTCCCCGCTGCCAGATCCCTATTAAGCAGCCCTGCCCACGCCCGTCCAGGTGCGCCTGTGCTCTAGAGCTGAGCCGCTGAACCTGTGCTCTGAAAACGGGCTTCCCTGTCTACAGCTGAGCAGTCTGGCACCTCTCCCTCCATTCTTTGATCCAAGAAGCTTTCTTTACTTCTGAAACCAAATCTGGTCTTATTCTATTGGCTTGAGAGACGCTAACCAGGAGAAGCCTTGTTGGGGATCAACTCAAAAGGGTCAGGAATACTTCAGCCTTATGAGGACACAGCAAGAAGGTGCTGGCTACAAATCAGGAAGAATACCCTCAGCTGACTGTGCTGCCACCCTGGCTTAGCCTTCCGGCCTCCAGAGCTATGAGAAATAAATCTCTGGTGTTTTGTTTATAAACCCGCCTCCCCCCATCTGTGGTATTTTGTTATAGCAGCCAAGTGGACTGAGGCACATGCATCAAATCTGACCAGCATGCCAACAGGAGGCCTTGTTGCCCAAGCAGAGTCCCAGGGTCAGGCGGTGAAAGGACAGAGAGGAGCCCTGCAGCCCTCTGCTTTTTGTTTTGGAAGGTTTTTAAAAATAAGATATAGAGGGAGGCAAGACAGCAAACTTCTATCTTCTGGTTTCAGAAACGTTTATAAAGGCCTATTGTTCTCCTGCCTACTTGGTCATAACAAGAATGTGATTATGGTACAACAAGCAAATTTGTCTGGTAGTGAGCCAGGGAACTGATGCCCAGGTAGCATGGATACTAAGATGAGAGGGAATAAAGGATCTCTTCCACCAGAGCTTCCCTCTCCTGTCCCTCCCCCGCATCTTCAGAACGGG